TGGCTCTCGTTATATGCCGCTCCTTTCGTCCGCGGGCGTAGTCTGCCAATCCTATTCGAGCCACTTTGCATAGGTTGCGTCTCTAGGTGGTAACGGTTCGCCGTACCAGCCGTCTGGTAACCCTCCCTCCCTCGCGCTCCGCTCTGCGTTGCGACTGTCTGAAGATGGATAGACGAGATAACTATCTGAAACGTCAGATCGCAAATAAACCTCTCTCGGTGAACGCCCTTTCCCCTTCTGACTTACCACCTCGGAATCAAATTTTCGCTACTATTACTCAGGTATTGTCGCGGTATATATATATATATTTTCGTCCCATGATAATGCTGGTTTTTGAACGAATTTCTTCCTGACGGACTGAAAAGTATATTCTCCTTCGAAAAATAGCGACTTAAGTAGTCTGCATTTGTCTCATTAATTTTCCATGTCCTCTTAAATTCAAATATATTTTGCAGACAACATGGAAAACATAGTCTGTCTTTTACTTGGTAGCATATCACGCCTTCTTCAAATTTTTTGCTCAAAGAAATAGTATCTCTAGGCCTTAAACACTCGTTGAATTGCCAAATAATGTTGAACCCTATACATACTGTATACATTCTGTCTGAAGAAAAGTACATCGTTCCTTACGGTATGAGGAAGGGGTCGATTAATTCCCGCAGACTTTTTCAATAGATGTGGATCGTGTGATTTATTTTTTATAGGCAACGTTAGTAAACTCACGGGTGCGATGTATTATTACTGAACATTTCACAGTCTTAAAAACGTCATGAGAAAAAATTAAATACATCCTTTCTTTATGGATAACATTTAAAGAATACGTACTGCGCTACCAACTGAGTAAAAAAATATTTTCGGGCATGTTTATTATAATACACAAAATATAGGTCGATTTATAGGAGCATCTAAAGTGATAAAAATGCATACTGGTCAAGTAGCACTTTCTTTTTAAAGAGAACACCTTTTGTGGGCGGTTACCAAAAGTCTCATTTAAAAGGCGGCCCCCCGACGTGACGAAAATATTTTGAGAATAGGTTGAACGATAATCACCCTGTTTAAGTAATTTGTGTGAGTGGCAAAAATATTTCAGAATTTAGTTGAACCAATTGTGAAAAAACTAGTGGCGTCGGCGGGAGTCAAACCCGCGCAGCAGGGAAGGCCTTTACGCAGCCAACGCTCTACCACTTGAGCTACGACGCCACGCCGTGCGCCGTGAATTTAATCACACTTTGATCGATTTCACCTGCCGAACTTCGCCGCTCCTATGGAATCCACCAACAGGGAACAGCAAGCTGACTGCCCAAGCAGGATTTCCTGAGCAATCATCTAAAGTCCACCAGAATGACTACCAGGCTGACATAATTGTAAGGGGAGTTTGACCGATTTTGGCAGAATTTTGGTTGACATTTAATGAGCTAGGGAATCTACTGCATGCATTATATTTCTAGGACCTGAACAAGACCGAAGCAGAGTTGGTTTCCGGATGCTGTAAAGCTTTAGCCCTTATTTTATTAATTTTTCCTCAGAAGATTACCTTAGCCGCATTTTATTGTCGAAGAAAAGAAACGATGGTTTGAATTCTAGTCAACAGGTTGCGGGTTCGAACCTCTGGCAGTGCACAACCCTGGGAATGGGTGTGGCTGGCTGATGATGGCTAATGAGCGGCTGCTGGTATGGCTGGACAGCGAGCTTCAAGGCAGAGCGGGACGGGCGAGTCCCGTCAGTGCTTACTGAATGTTCGTCAGACTTATAAACTTGAAGGAAACGTGTGTTTTTGTTTTGCTCGAACACAAAAAGCCGCGCCAGATTTAAGCCAACAGAAGAAAGAGTGATTTTTATATCCGCTCTGGCCTAAATCCTTAGTCCTTAACTTAACGCGCCTTCTGACAAACGGAATGCGCAGAGCTGGGGGAGGGGAGGAGGAGTACAGTGTTGTATTGCCTGCTAA